GCAAAAAATATATTTTCAAACTATTTATTGGCAAATTTAGTCTAATAATTGAAAACATGGATAAAATATGAAACAAATAAAATAAACCACAAAGCAGAACACAGCTAAATGTATCAAAAGTATGTCTGTAATATTAGAATTTTCTGAGACAATGTATTTTTTTTCCCCTGCAAGAGGTTTTTATTTAATATAATTTTTGGGCCAAAAGTATCACAATATCTCGCCTTGTTTACAGTATCGAAATATATCGGGATATATCGTATCGTGACCCTTCTGTCATGATATGCATCGTATCGCCAAATTCTTGCCAATACACAGCCCTAGTATCTTTCGATTTTTGGAAGAGATCATGTCTGCAGGTGGTTGAGAGACAACAGGAGGGTCAACACTCTCATTCTCATCCGATGAGAATTCCTTAATATCAGGGTCCTCCTGAACACAGTCCTCTGTCTCAGAGACAATCTCCTCTAAGTCACTTTCACTGTCCAAGAGCTGTTCCAAAACACCTGTGACAGTAAACCTTTTCCCTGAAGACATTTTCAAAGAGAGAGCGTGCAGATTGCAGTATACTCAGAGCACAATGAGGAATGATTTGAATAGAGGACAGAGATGCAAGCTTTTATATTTGCTCCTCCCTGACTTTGCATGAACTACCAATGTCTTTGCGGGAATACCCAACCCTCCGCAGTGCGGGAAAAAGCAGTTCTACTTTGACAGGTGTGAGCTCAGAAGGTCACACTCACACACATCAAAATAAATAATACATAAAAGAAAATATATCAACTCAAATGTATCAACTGCACCTGCAGGTGTGGTCATGTTAGGTCACACACACTGACAGACACGTTTTAACAGCTAAAACAGCGTGGGGTCAAATTGACCCCTGAGGACGACCAATGCGTGCAGTATGTGTTCAGCTCATTGAAAAAATATCATCAAGAAAATTTTATGTTTTATCAGTTGTCCCCATCAAATTAGGAAAAGTCATGAAATATGAAGCAAAAGAAAAAAAGTTAACTACTATTTTTTGAATGATAAACATTGAATGGGGTCAAATTGACCCCAAAGACGATAGGAGGGTTAAGAAACAACTGGCTACACTTCAGCTGACTTTACAGATACCAAACAAACTTGGGATGATAGTAGACGAGACTGATGGAGCAGATTCTGATGAAACTTTAAAGAAGTAATCACTGAGAGTTCACTACAGCTATTTAACGTATGGAATCCATCCCACACAAGACAACCACAACAGACAACCAAACAACAACAACTCTAACTCAGTCATTTGAAAGATTCTGAGCAAAGATTTGATGTGTAGCTGAGAGTCGTTCACAGCACATACTTTAGTGTGGCATTAATTAACACAAGACGATCTTAGTTTAAAATGGTTTAACAGGTGAAATGCTGAAAAAAGTTTTCATCGTAACACTTTATATATTTTAGGGAGCACACATATTCTCCTTTTCTCTTTACTACTGACTGATGTTATGTGAAAATTAATTTAACTTTTAAAACTCAGCGTGACAGAATTACACTTTAAATAATGGAAAATGTGACGTGTGCTTGCCTGAAGCCTTGCTCCAGAATTTCTCATCACATTTAGGTCACAGGCTCACATTTCCAACAACTCTGTAAAACAAGCTGATTTTTAAAAAACTTAAATAAAAAAATGGACATTTCAGCTTCTTATAGATTTGATTTTAGTCTAAAACAGATTCATATTCTCTTGTTAAATAAAATTCACCCAGTATTTATCCCAAACACAAGCACAAAAAGTTTTTTAAAATAGTCATTTTTAAAATAAATTTCTAAATCCTAAAAACAGAAAAACTGAACTTGACGCCAACCATCGCTGATGTCCCCCCGTTGACCTACAATCAGCAGCTTTGTTGGAATCATCACAGGCCTTCATTATTTAGTCTCATAAGGTGAAAAGACGGACGGACAGGTGGCTAAAGTGATCTCATCAACTACTATACAAAAATTACCAAATTTCCCTCTGGGATCAATAAAGTATTTTTGAATTGAAACATTTTGAGCAGGTCTCCATGTATTTGTGATTTAGAGCCAATTGTCAAGACACAAATGTGCTAAATAAAAGCCTCGGTGTATTTCATTCATAGATCTTGTGTTTGCTGAAAGTATTTCCCATTTATAAGTCATACTGTTAATGTAAAGTGGGGGATCCATGCCTTGAAGATGACTACTATGATAACTGTGTGTATGTGTGTGTATGTGTGTGTGTGTGTGTGTGTGTGTGTGTGTGTGTGTGTGTGTGTGTGTGTGTGTGTGTGTG